ATTATTTATTATCTAAAACGCATACATAAGTATAAAATTTAAATTTAAAGTATTGAGTATTGAAAAAATTGAAAATTGAGTGAAATAAAATTATTGATTTCTAAATAGTATTTACATTAGATACAGAGTATATTTTATAATTGCTCACTTTTAAAATTTAGTATTTAAGAAATAAGTTAAAAAATCCTAAATTTAATTGAAATTATTATACCTATAATTGTTATTGAAATTTAAACTTTTAAATACTGAAAAATTAAACTAATTAATTAAAATTAAGCTGGAGGCAAATTAATTTAAGATGAAATTAAAAAAAATTATTTACTTATTAAAATAATATAGGTAATCATAAATTAAATGATTATACATATATTTATTATTAAAAATTAAACTAATTAATAATTAAAGGAAAGTTAACTAGACTCTAAGAATTAAAGGCAAATAAAATAATATTTTAGTTTTTAATTTTATCATTAATTTATATTATGAGTAAGAATAATAAGAAATGTGATTTTGTAAAAATGAAAATGTTTAATAAACGTAAATACATTAAGACAAATAGTAATAATGTGTAATATGTCTAATAACATTAGACATAGACGATTAAATTTCAACAGTGGTGCCTTGCGCGGTATGTCGGCAAAAAATAATACGAAAATAAAATTTAAAAATAAATGTTTATTTCAGCCATAATATTTGAATGTATAAATAAATAAACAACTAATTTATATAGAAAAATAAATAAACAAATTCTTAGTCTTGAGTATTATTATATTTGTAAAGTACGACTGGTTTCAAATTTAAAATTTATCATCAGGTATGTATAAATTTAATAAAATCATGAGTGAATAAAAAAAAAAATGAAGGATGTAATACATTAAGAAAAATTAGTTGTTTTACATAGAGATAATTTATTTTAATAGAAGAAATTATTTACAATGAGTTCTTATTAGACAAAGATAACAAAAAAAAAGTATAGGTATACATCCAGTCCTTAATACAAAACAGTAAATATTTAAAAAAATAAACTCAAACACAATAATAAATTCAATATAAACGAAATATAAGAACTTATTCAATCGATAAATAGGAGTATAATTATTAATCAATTTTATATCAAATATAATATTAAATTGTATTAGCCGATGAAGCTCGTATTTAAATACCATCCTCGTTACAGCTATCCGAGTTTATAAAAAATACACAAAAATACTCCCCAAAACAATTTTTTTGCAAAGCAAGGTAATTAAAAAAAAAAGAATGAATTATAGATATAATAAATTTAAAAAATATTTTACAGCTAAATTAATTATCATCAATTACTCATATTAGTTTTTATTAATTATTTTTTAAACATGCAATGATATTTTGTGATGTTTTTCAAACCTTCATTGTTCTTTTATGATGTCATTATTATTATGATTATGTTATATTTTATAAGGTGCGATTTATGTATCAAAAATCAAGACAACATTAGGATGAAGGTGGCCAGCCTTAAATAGTTGGGAGTAGAAGAAGGTACAATTCATGTATAAATATACAAGTTCAAGTTAATCATAGATTTAAATATGTTTACATCAAACTCATATTTTTTGGAGGGTTTGGGATAAAGGATATATCTTTGAATTTGTGTTTACTACTGTTTTGTTTATGTGATGTTTACTTAGAAACAGCTTTCTAGCTCGTAACAGTATATAAGTGCTTTTTCATAGTTTGGGATGGATATTCAAACACAATATTGTAATAATTTTACTGATATTAACTTTTTTCTTATCCTTTTTTCACGCTTTAATAAAGAAAATGGTACTTATAAAAATCTAAAAAGTTAATAATTGATCTCAGTTAATAAACTGAGCAAAAACTATAGTTTATTTTATAATAAAAACAATAGGTTTTGTTTATCTATGATTATCAACAATAATACAACACATACATTTACAAGTATATTAATTATTATAATTCAATTTAAAGAACACAAAAAAAATTAAAAAATTATAGCTATAATATATAATTGTTATACAACTAAACTAAAAAAAACTATAAATATTTAAGTAAATCCAAAGGTGTAGCAACATTTAAAAATATTAGTGAACTTGGTATGAATATAAAAAAACTTTTTTCAAAATTTGAATTCTATTCAAAATAAGAAATGTAATGAATTTTATCTAAAATAATAAGATACATGAACAAATTTAAAACATATGTTACAACAATTTAAACTAGTAAATTTCTAGTTATGTAAATTATGGTATTGCCAAAAATATGTATAATTCATGATTATGAATCATATCAATTTAAATTGAAATTAATTTTAATATAAAATATTTTCCATACTTAAAATTAACAATAAATATAATCTTTTAAGAAAATAAGTAGATAAAAACAATTGTAAATAGAACACAAAAAAATGTATTGTAGTTCAAATAAATTTTGATGATTCTTATTAAAAATAAATCAAAAAATTAAATAATAATAAATAAATCAAAAAATTGAAAGTATTATAAAAATGAAATATTTAAATTATATTAATATATTTCTTACCATAACTTAAATACATATTATATGGTAATTATACATTAATATTTTAATTAATGATTGCAGTAAATGACTGTGTCTGTTAATACTAAAATAAAAAATAACTTATTAAACCATTAAGATACTGCAGTTATATTTTTAAACTCAGTACTCAGTCATAAATATATGATATACTTATTTGTATATGTATAGTGTTGAAATTACAACTAATAACCATAGATCTGATTTTTGCTATAATTATATTTAATTTATACAATAACAATTAGATGTATATGTAAGTTATCTTAATAACTCAGTTAACAATAGTAAAGAATCATTAAAATTATACAATTTTATTTCTTTGTTGTCTCCAATTTATTTTACTTTGATTGATTGACTAGATAAAATAGATACTTAATTAAAATAACTAGAAATAATTTTTAAACACTCTTAAAACAAGTCGTATCCAAAGAGGTGTTTTAAATATTTCGTTCTCAGGGACATACAACGATGTTGATTTGTAAATATCATATTTTTCTGTATGAAAACTATTCTGTAGTGATTTGTTATTTGTTACGATAATCAATTGTGATTCTAGATCACAGTTCAAAGATCTAGCACCTGCGAAAAATAATTACAATATTAATATTGAAATATCTAAAACTATATTTATTAAAATATGTCAAATGTACCGTAATTGGAAGATCCAACAGCAGTTAGAACAGGAAATTCATAATTTTTTGGAGTGTACCACAGACCCTTGGAGTGAAATGTCCATCCAGTTCTTTGGTATTCAAAACAAGTAATACGTTCTTGAAGTTTAAGGGTTTGGATTTTATTATAAAAACAATTTGTGAGATAACTGTATGCATTGGGTATAAAACCAGCAGGTCCTTTAGCTTGTTGAAATGAATTAGCCAATGGATGGGAAAACAATATGTTAAAATTGGCCAATGATTTATGGAAAATTGTTTTCATGTAAATGTTTGGGAGGTTGAAATATCCAGTAGCCAAATGTATAGTCGATCCAGCTTCAGCATTACTCATAAGCAAATTAGTTGTTTGACTGTCCTGATGAATTCCAAATGGTGGAAATTCAATTAGAGGATAAACCAATGTATCACCATTACCTATAACAAAAAAAGATAATTAATTTTCATAGCATAAATGATTAATAAATGTTATATTACTATGTTCAAAATTTAGACGTTTCATATGTGAATCATAATAGTTGATCACATTTTTTTTAGCCTCCGAGGCATATGTTTGATAAGTACTTTTATATGGATGATGTTTCCAAGAGGAATCCATTGTTAATGTGTTCTTATTTGATAACTGAAATGACATACGGCCTAACACTTCAATTAATCCAACGTAAAAATCTACTAATGGCTTGCAATCTTCAATAAGAATATATCTATCCTGTCTAAAAATGTAATTAATATAAATTAAAATTATTTTCATTACCAAAATAGTAATCAGGCAATAATAATAAAAAAAAAAATAAATGTTTTAAGACGTTTAACTATTCAAAAAGGTTTAGGTCAAAAGGAATTATTATAAATTAGGTTTAACTCCAAAACTAGATTTTTAAACTTCCATTTAAAAATATATTTATTCTTGTAATAGATTAATTTACCTATTTGTAAAGTAATCATGACTTAAATTTGCTCCACTGATAATTATAGAATCATCAAACATGTATAATTTCATGTGTTGTATTCCAATCAATTCATTATACCTCTCAGGTAAGAGCCACTGAAGAATACCTCTCAATTTTGGGGTATGGTACAAAAATACCTTGAAAGGTAAATTAATTAATAAATATACTTTAAAATGTATTATAGTTTATATTCAACCATAATATTACCTACACGACAATCAAACGATGGTTTCAGTATAGGCATCAACATTGTGCGTGAGCTTAATACACCTCTAGACCCACGATTAGCATCCAATAATATTCTAACACTTAATTCTTTTCTGTTTTCCATTGAATTTTTTATGGTATTTATCTGCAATTATTGTCAATATGAGTCTAAATATGATTGCGAAAACTAGAAGGATGTAACTTACAAGCTCTTTCTCTAGTCTCCCAATACCCAGATACAGAGAAACTATAACGATACGGCTTTTCGCTGAACGACTTCGGTCCAAAAGTGTAAGATAGAAATCAGCAGGGCTTTTCAACATCGTGATCTAAACAACCGTAGAAAATGATGAAATACACATGAAATAAAATATATCTTCAAGGATAAGGTGCTACAATTATACTTACGTTTTTCGCCTTAACTGAGTACGACGGCGCGAATTTTCGTAACCATTTGAATTTGGACAGATAGTTGGTTTTATCATGATCGATCGACATTGTGTCGTGGGAAAACTTAAAGGGACCTAAAATGCAAACTGCAGATCACTTGGTAGACGAAAAAATACCGAGATGAGACGAAAAAACAATTCGTATTTATAAGGGACAAGGGCTATCTATCAACCATCAACAGGATAGCAACGATAACTGCGGAAAACAGGTAAGACAATATTCAAGGCAACCAAATGAATTCGTTAAACATTCCGGATGAAGAATGAAATCGTTAGTGACTCGTCAGAACAAAAATGACGAAATTTGTAGAAAAACATTCCGCTATTCACATTATCGTATTTCAACCACAGACTATCACACTGATAACGCTTGTTGATAAGCGGTTTTTTATCATTGGTAACAACCTTCGACCATATAAAGTAAATTTATATAGTTTTATAGTTTTATATCTAGTTTATATGGTCGAAGGTAAGAACCACAGATATGTACAATATCTGTATTATTGTATTATTGTATTATTATATATTATTGTATTATTGTACATATCTGTGGTAACAACCGATCGTCCATCGTATTTTTTTTTTATTTACTATAAATTTTTCACTGTTTATTTTAGACCTATCCAGCAGGGCGTATTTAAACTTATTTTTAAGGGGGGAGAGGGACGAATCAATTTTTTTCTTTAATTCAGGCTCAACATTTACAAGTAAAATTTTTAGTAATATTTAAATCAGGTGAATCTTTAATATGTGGTTTTTTTTTTTAGTTTAATGATCCGGATCCACTTAGAATGGACTTTTGTATAGTTCTTTTTCAACACATATCTATGTTTTGAAAGTTTTGCTTGTGTTTTATTTGGTTTTTTTTAGTTTGGACCCGGGCTTAAATCAAAATTATATATATTGTTTACCGTTATGGGACATTTAAACTTTATAAGCAATTGAGCATTTAACACTATAAATAATTTACACGTTAATCAATTTAAGCGTTTAAACGTTAAAACATTTTCCGTTTACCGTTAATGACAATTAAAATGTTATAAACAATTTAACGTTTTACATTATTTAAATTAGTGTAAAATTTAAAACGTTTTTAAATGTAGTATTTAGCAATCAATACTATGTAAAATAACATTACATATTTTAAATATTATATTATATATATATTACCTTTCACCAGTGGTGTATTGATAAATATATTTATGGGTATATGCACTTAAAAAATATGGATATTAAGAGGGCCATATTCAGTAAAGGGCTAGAGGGCATGGGCTAAAGGCGCAGTTCTAAAAGGGTGTAAAAGGTTCTAAATTTGCTGATGTGTATATGCCATATACCCACGTATACGTACCAATACACCCCTGCCTTTAATGACATTTTCTTTTTGTAATTCTCATAACTCATAACTTATAAATAAAGCAATCATATTTGTTGTATGGTGTATTACTACTAATATTTCATCGGTGTTCACCGAAATTATTTTTGATGAGGCATACTATACGGTTTCCACTCCAACAATATCCGACGTATTTTCAGAAAGCATATTTATAAATTATAATTAGTAATGCTTATTTATATATTATTAGTTGATACATTGATTGCTGTTCATCCTTTTTATATATATTTTATTTAGATTACCTAGTAATTTAAGTCAATTTTACAAAAATAACTATGTTCCAAATCTATTTTATTGATAATAATAAATATTTTTCGGTGGCAATTTCTTTTATATTTTAATCGTTTATCATTTTTTGTTATGTTATTCGATATTAATTTTAATCATTTTTCGTTTTTGTTTCGTTATCTGTTATCGATTTCAATCGCTTTTTAAATAGTTTAACGTTATACCTACTTATAACGTTATCAAAACGTTTTGTTGCCCTGGTATGGATACTATGTAACGTAATAAAATGATCCACATTAAAAAAATTTGAAATGTTTATCTAACATATGATCGATTCCTTTAATACGGATTTAGGGGGAGCGATCCTCCCCTAAAATATCATAATATCATATGAAAATATGATATTAATTTTAATAAAAGATTAAATCTTTTTCTGTTTTATTTTTAACCAAATATCAAAAGTTAGAATCTAAATTCAATAAAATTACAATATACTTACATGTTTTGGACCTTTAATTGGACTAATTTGGACCTGCCGATTTCAGAGTTACAGTCAAAAAAATTGAAAATCGTGCGCATTTTGCAGTTTTTATGTTAAATTGTTGTAATTCGGTATTAAAAATTGTAATTTTGGACTTAGAAAGTTGGTTTAACCACCAAAATTCATTAAATAAAAATAGGCAAAAAATAATTAGTGATTAAAATAGGTGGTTGCTATTTAAGAAAAAAAATTTGTACTACGCATGCGCTTGTCTATTTAAGTTAAAAAACTAAAAACTCATAAAAATACACATTTTTATGTCATAAAAACTAACGAAAAATCAGAATTGAAATTGCAGGACTTCACGCAAAGATATTAAGTATTCTCAGTTAACGATTACATGCTGTACATTACAAACAGTATATGTACTTAAATCAAAGTAATTCGGTTATTTTGTCGGTTAATAATTTAATACGAGTATATCCTGTAGAGGTATTTATGGGACAACGCTTAAAATAATTTTTTACTCGATTCAATTGTTCATAGCAGAGCATATACTCAACCTGATAATTGCTATGTCATAATGTTTCTGGAATTAAACATGTCGGTTGAATGTAACATTATGTGAGATTTCGTAACACCAAGGCCAGACAGATTAAGTCATTCCGTTGATGTATAAATTACACATGTGGTACTTTAGATATCCATGCGGTCATTCGATTCAATTATCAATGAAATCAATCCAAATTTTATTATGTACCAAACGTATAGTCTAAGAATAGAGCATATATTATTTCGAGTACAAATTATAAATACTGAATGATTAAATGGACGGTGTAGTAAACCATCAACTAGCAAACATCCGCTATCATTATATCATGTTTGATACTAATGTGGCAAAACCGAAACGGAAACCAATATCAATACTTATTCGTATTGATATGCAGTTCCCACGGAACAGAGCCTATTTTCAATATCACAGAAACAAGCTTCCTTGTTCACATCCGTCAGAATCTTCATCGACCTTACTCTTATCCTAAATGGCTGCCTATAAATACGGTATCCATTTACCCATACATTGAGAATAGTAGAATGATTTAAATTAGTGTTAACTAATTACTCCGCTTACTGCACCGACGCTCATCTGGTAGTGAAGCCCGCGCGCCTCACATCGCCGCCAGCTCTAAGAGTCAATCTTTATTATTCTCGGGCAGAGCTTAAATACTCTGTCTTCACACTTTCAATTATAAATTACTATCTTATTTGTATTAACCACATATTATATATATATATATATATATATATTATTTTATTCATTATTATACATATCTGTATAACTTTAAACCATCGTGTTTTGTCATTTAAACACCTTCCAACAACTACGTCACAGACGTGAAGCGTTTAAGTATTTATTCGTCAACGGTGTATTGTGTCGTTCTCTTGCAGGCCGGCCCACTACAACGGGCTCATAATAAAAAAGGCCCATTGCCCTGGTGCATTTTATTAATTTTGTTTTCCCCCGAACCCTACGTCATCCCATTACACAATTCTCAAAATCTTTATCTTATTCAATTACGTGTTTGGTGCCAATGTAACATGCGATCTACCGCTCACATATGCTCTACCTGTAATCTACCCATTACTATCCAGTTCTTTTATCGTTAACGACCCCTTAACAGGTGCACACACATAGGGTGTTGAAAGGTCATGGTTGGATGCAAAAATATCCATATTACAAAAAAAAAAGAGGCTTACCTATCTTTATATTTCAGTCATATTTAGATCTGTATTGTTAGGTGCGGCCGAAAAGTGAACCAAATTTGTTCATTGCTTTTTTAGATGATATGCGTGCTACATTTATAAATAGCGACTATAATGAAACTTTTATTTTAAATATTTATTTAATGAAACTTATATTATGTGGATGTGATTTTGAAATTGTGATTTATGAAATACGTAGAAGCCCACTTCCTCGTGGTGTATTTTAGATAATACTAAGCGGCTCACAAACCGCGTTCACCAAAAACAGGCTGGTATATCGCACGCTACACTGGCATCACGTTTTCTTATAGAATATATTCTGCCTGTAAAGAAAATTTAATTTATCTCAATAAATTAAAGAGAATAATAAGATAATTATCCCAGATAACAATCACCTCTACAAGCATTCCTTTGTTCCCAATAATAATTTACTAACCTGATGTTTTCTTAAAAATATATTCCGTTTGATTCGTTCTCTATATGGGTAGTACTTTTTTAACAGAAAATTTTGTGTGACCACTTGTGAGTATTTTATTGTATTAGTTCATTGATCCTTCATCAAATTAAATATATGTATATTGTAATAATCTACATAAATTGAACTATAAAAGTCATTCCAAAGCAAGTTTATTTTCGAAATATTTACATTATTATTTTAATAGAACATGGATGCTGTTGCAACTCGTACATTTGTAACAAGCGTGTTCTAAATATTGTTTAAAAGCCAATAGTTATTTAATAAGTTCTATGTTTAAATTAGTTATTGAGTATAGTTTATAGTTTGATAAGTAAATATTTTATTTTATGTAATATTGAGTAAAAATTGTTTTAATCAAAAATACAGTAGTTCAATAGTGCGTAGGCTAATAACAATAATTGATAAATGAAATATTATTATCTAGAGAAATTATTATAATATATTATAGTTAATAAGATAATATTAATTTGCATATTCATTTCGTTAGGTATGCAGTCTTGTAAAGTATTCGAATACAAGTATTTGAATACATGTATTAAAATACTTTTTGAAGTATTTTTTAAGTATTTTTAACAATTTGTAAATACTTGTATTTAAATACCACAAAGTTCGTTTTAATAATAGTAAAATCATAATAATTCTCTATCCTAATAATTTTTCCTACTTCTAAGAATAATATTCGGTTATTATTGATGAATCTAATAAGTAATAAAATAATAAGATATTACTATTATATTACTAATTTTAAAACTGTTAAATTTCAAACCGTCTTAACGCTATCATATATTTTTTTTTAAATATTATTTTGCTTAATTTTATATTAATTAGTATTAATTGTTATAGGCTGTGACAAATATCAATAAATAATAATGTAAATAATTTATTAAAATATGCAATGGTTATTATTTATATTGTAATTACAATTGGTAATATTTATTTTCTAAAAAGTAATTAATTTTTAACCATACCTGTATAAATGTAAAATAATATTATCGGCTTAATCTTTAAGTTTTAACTCTAAAAATGTAATTTCATGCTTATTAATTTCATGAATATAGAGTATCAAAGATAATTTTTTATCTCATTATCTAGGTTATATTATAATATAATTATATAAAAAGAAAGTATTATACTAATGAGATTCAATTTATAAACACAAAAAAATTGTATAACAGAAAAAGTAGTATATAACAATGTTAAAAATTTAAAAAATGCTACATCCAATTTTATATGGGTTTATTATTGTAATTTTTAAGGAATTTTTTTCAAATAGTTCTATATTAATAGTTAATACCATTTTTTATTTATTTTTTTGTCATTTAATTGTATTAATACTAGTAGATATATATAATATGTGAATGAAATATGTGAACACGACCTCTAAATAGTCAGACATGTTTTGTATTTTTCAAATTGTTAAATCTATACTAATTAGTATCATAATATAGGTACCTAAACTGATATATAATCAGTGGCATAGACACAATTTTTTTCTATTTGGGGGGGGGAGTGGTTAACTATAATATTATATAATATAAAATTAAAAAAAAATACTTGTATTTGTATTCAAATACTTAGTGAGTATTCGTGAAATACATTTTTATAATAGTATTTTATAAGTATTTTTAATACTATTTTATTCGAATACTAGTATTAGTACTTTAATACTTTTTCAAAAGTATTTTTTACAAGACTGTAGGTATGTAATTCAAATGTCCAAGTATTTTATAATTGATACATACATGTATCAAACTTAGATGTATTATTTAAGTCAGAAAAATACAGTTAGTAATTAGGCTCAAACAATATTATTAGTATTATGAGTTATAATTTAGAATACTAGAATCATAGCGAAAACCTTCCACTTGGTTCCATGTAAAAAAAAAAATCTATCATAATTTTAATAACATTAAGTATTGAAAATGTTATATCATTCATAAATAAATTCCAAATAAGTTAACTGCTTAAGGCTACTTTGTTTCAATAATTGATTTACTTCAATTAATTTAGATTTGAAATATTTATTCTAATATTTTTAATTTATTGTGAAACCCTAATGCTTTTAATTATATTGTTCATATTATTTCGCATTGTATAAAGTTAAAAATTACTCATGTAAAAAAATTATTGTAACAAAATAACTGTAGTTTAGTTCAAATTACTTAGCATTTATCTTTAATAGTATCCTATTTTCATAGTGCCTGAATTAATTTATATTACTATTTCTTTTTTTAACTTTAATGACTTTTAATGCGGAACATAGTTTAGGGTTTTAGTTGTGATTAGAACTATAGGGGGATGTGAACCCCTCCCGAAAATATGTAACTAACTTCACCATTTTCCTTTCTCTCCATCAAGAACCTTCCGAAATTTAATTTTTTCAAATTTATAAATCTCCCCCCCCCCCCCAAAAAAAAAAAAATAAATCTTGGTTGCGATATCGCTAATTTTTATTTTATATTGATAATTTTTCTCTCCAATTCGTTTATATCAATGGTAATGTTATATGATATGTATATTGGCCGCCGTCACAACAAATAAGCCGATAATATAATAGAAGCACTGAATCTTATATTTTTCAAATAAAATATAAAAAAAAGCCATTAAACTACCTTTTGGCTTATATTCAACCCTCTTGGGGCACGGGAAGGGGATGAGTAATTATGCTCAAATTTGTTACATATTACTTTTATATGATTATAAAAATAATGGGAGGGTCCAGCAATTAAAATTCAAATGTGTAAAATTAAGGACCATCCTAAGAAGCAGGCACTGCAAAAACGACGTATGCACTCGCATAGGTACGAAAAATTATGGTTCATTAAAGAGATATGAAATAGTCGGAGAACCGTTTAAGAAATACCATGAGAATATCGAATTCTACCGTCAAATTTTTTTTGTTCATAAAATTTACTATATTTTGCCTTATAATTTCACTACAGTCATAACTAATATTTCAAAGTATTTATGATACTTAAACATCTTTAACTAATGAACTACGTACAAAATAATAATGCGTACACGGTTTAAATGTGTAGACTTTGAATCCAAATCTATACTCTACAGTCACGCAGCCGTTTCTTTCATTTTGAAAACTTTTTTAAGTATACAAAGATTACATTTTAATTAGGGATTAATAAGATTATTAATGTGCAAGCGCCCACATACACATGTTTATAATTTTATATAAATATAATGCAATAGTTCAGAACATATATACATATACATGCAGCGGCAAAGAAAGCATCGGGGCGAGCGGGGCACGTGTCCCGTGATTTTGGGCCATTATAGTGCTCCTACCTGAATGAAACAAAAAAAAAAATCAAGTTCATTTTTGATCATATGTCTTAGTATTACATAACATATTACCCAAAATTGCAATTAATGCAATCGGTAACAAAGCATTAAAAAATAAAGATTCAATCAAATTAATACATTTAATGAAGTTTTTGGATTTTTGTATGATGTTGGAAAAACTTTGTTATGTCCTTGATTTAGAAATTTTAAATTTCTGCAAGGATTTGGAATTATGTTTGTCAGAAAATAATAAAAATATTTAAATGGTTATGATTTATATGAAGAAATATTAATTTTTGACCATTTAATTGATAAAAACACTACACCACTTCAAGTATTATCTGAAATCACAAAAACGAACGCATTTCCCAACTTGAATATTACTTTAAGAATTATGTTAACAATTCCGCTTATGTCAGCTGGAGCAGAGAAAAAATTCTCAAAATTAAAACTTATTAAAACATATTTACGATGTACCTTGTCACAACACAACAAACTTACTCAACTTACTATAATTTTTATAGAAAAATAACTCAATTAAATTATGAAAACATAATAAATGATTTTGCATTACAAAAGTTGGAAAAATTAAAGAATTATAATTGAAAATATTTTACCTTAACAATGTATTATGTATGTAAAATATTGTAAGTTGTTCAGCACACTAATTGTTTTAAACTTTCTTCTTTATAAATTAAAGTTGTTACTTACCTATTAGTTATAATACATTTAATTAGTAAAATAATATGTGCTCTTAAATTACAAGTATTAAGCATGATTCATACTAAAATAGTCAGACACTGTACCGTACCATTCCACAAAATATTTTATTAGGTGATTTAATTTAGGTAATTCACATGGGAATGTTTCCATTCCGTTCATACATGTATCTATCCAACAGAGTTCGTCCGGCATTCCTCACGATGTCAGAATATTGCCAAGTGCAAACCTTAGATAAGTTCCTCTGATCTTTAGCCTCATTTTAAAAATGTGATCAAGGAGCGGCCTGACCTAAGCGTAGGATTCGGCCCCACTGTATAAATGTATATATATATAATATAATATATGTATATTAATATAATTCAAAATATCGCAGTCAATACAATGATATATTAAATAGAAATTTTGCTTACAAATGCTTTTTCAATATACAATCACACTACGAGTACAATTTGATTTTTATACTTATAATATAAGAACAGTAACAAGTTAAAAAATTATATATTCAATGATGTGCAAAGTTATTTTTTTTTTTATAAATTCAACAATATAATAATAAATTAATAACTATAATCGAACAATTTTACAAATCTATCATATCATTGATTAGCTAATAACATTTTTTTAATACATTTTTGGATGATATAAATTATTTTACTTTTCCAAGTTATTCTTCTATAAAATAGAAGTAAATAAGTATATTATATACGTAATATGTAGCAAATACGCTGTATATAATATATACAACAATGTCAGGTGATTTATTTTAATTTTACACCATTTTTTTTTTTTTTTTTTTTTGTTAATTAATTATTTTTGATTTTTTTTGTACTTTAATCACATTTTGTTGAATTTTTTCTTCTATTATGTTAATTTTCAAGTTCGCAAAATATTGAATTTAATGACATGGTTTCTTTCAATGTAGTATAACTTTTGTTTATAACGTCTTTGATTTGTGTAAATATATTATGATTGTGTACAGACCGCGCTGTGTTTGTTCTCTCGAAAGGTTCTATAATAATATTAATAATAATAAAAAAACAATTAAATATATAGGAAAAAAAAAAGAATAAATCAAAAGCTTTTGAAATCAGAAATCAAAAAAAATATGTATGGCATTACGTTAACATTGATTAAAATTAAAGCGCTATACTTTATTCATTTTTTAGTTTACTCAACCAATGAACACTGGTTTCGTTCACGCATGTTGCTCTCACATTATAGATTAGAAATCGAAATATATACAGTGGCATATCTCAGACGCGAGTAATAACAATGGTTAATGTTAATGTTAATGTTAATGGAGTAATAACACATCCCTGACGACCCTGGACATCGATAGGGTGTTAGACACTCTTCCGATGCCTCAGTGTGCATGCGCGGAAGTGGGTAAACTTAATGTGAACAAAGTATAGATAACAAAAGTTTTCTAAAATTGTTTAGTTGATGAAAATATAAAAACTAATGAAATGTATTATATAACAGTTGTTTAATTTACCTTCAATTCCAATAAATTTCCATTGCCCCGGATCATTTTTTATAGTTTCGGCTAGCCGACAGTGTTCTAACGGAATTGGTGTTCCCATTCTCACGGACACAGCATGCTGACAATAACTACAACGTATAACGCGAGAAAATTAAAAAAAAAATAAAAAATATTTGGTGTGTATTTAATAAATAAAGTGATTAATTGTCATATGAATATTTAAAAGTTATATCAATATTATTGAATCAAATATTAAGACTAATAAAAACTAAGGGATTCCTAATAAATTTATAAAGCCTAATGGCTAACGAAGCATTCAAAGGACAATACTCCAACAGGTCAATAAAACTTTTAATTTTTAGCCAAGATCAACACTTGTAAGGGTTAAAAACACACACAATACGTTAATAGCGAGTCCGCGATCAGTCGGGTTTACCTACACAAGTGTGTGATACGCACAAAAAAAAAAATATACAATAGTTATAAGTAAAAATAGTTATATTATGAAGGCTTGTAAATTGTAAAATAATTGTTATTCACTTGAAGTCATTATAATATTCAAAAAATTTCAACAACAACTCGCCAAGAGATTGCTGATTTTCGCTCCTCCAACTGTTAGTGGGCAATTGTTCGTGCATGTGCACGAACTCGATGTTGGTGTCAGAGGAAAACTTCATTCCGTAGATGCGTTGCAACGAAGGCAATACGGGCGGTTTGACACCTAAAAAATGCGACAATTTGAAACACTATACAGTACAATCTTATTTTCATCGATGTATGTTTAGAAGCACGTCTTAAGGATATTCCTAATGTTAGGCGGAGATGAGTAGCGCAAATACGATTATAGACAAAATCTCACTACTACCCTTCGGTTGTGCAGTAATACATACGAAGTTTTAATTTTATTACGAATTCAAATTATCACTGATAGTATCCATAAACTCTGTCAAAGTAAAAAAATTTCTTGTCCCATACGATCTCGCCGTTACTATCCTTAAACATGCCTCTGGCAGGTATTATATATATTAATTTCTAATACTTTCTTTAAAACTTGACGGATTTCACTTACATTGCAAAAAATTAATGGCCATCAGTACCAATGAATAACTAGAAAGAGTCATTTTTATCGGATCGTTGATGTTGTGATAAGACGCCCACAATTTAATGGTTAACACCAAAGGTCGGACTCGGTAATCGACTGAAATATAAATTTAAAATTACACAATATTATACAAACTACAAAATGTTTAAGTGAATAAAAAAAAATATACATAAAGAAAAATGCTTCAAATAGTTTAAAGTATACTTACGACTATTTAGTACTATAATATACATGAATATGTATACAATTAATCAAAATTGTCTTCATAATTTATATTAATGAGAAACAAACGCATAAGACAATACATTAGTTTTAATTGAAAACTTATTAACTATAAGTAGTACTAACTTGACATATGTATGTAGAATTATCAGAAAGAGTATTAATTTCTAAAGTTAATATGTTTAACTAACTATTTAATTGTATTAAGTTTCTATAACTCATGTAATATTTAAAAAATTGTAAAACAGATTTTTGAATTCTAATGAGATCTAAAAATTTTTATACAGAAAAAGAGGTGATCATATTATAATTTCACAAACCCGCATTATTATTATTATTAAAATTTCTAAGCTTTAATACGGATATTGCATATTAATAAAAACAAGTTTGCTATCTAAGTAAATAACTTATGAATGGTTAATATTTAATTTAGTCAGTTATAATAATGGTATTAATAAGCAAGTGAACATACGCAGTTATATACTACACAAATAGGTCTAGGAAATTTCAAGGATACTATTTCGGCAATGAGCTATTTCGGTGATATGCTACTATAATTCAGAATTTTATCTCGAAATCATCTATACCTGTGTGCAGTGGCGTAGGTACAATTTTTTTCTGAGGGGGTGTTAAAGAGTAAGTTTTTAAGTGTTCTTAGTATATCTTAAAACGAAGTCATATGCAATAATATTACATTTAAAATGGTATTATTATTATGTCCTGTATTTAATGAAAATTATTTTGTCACTCAATTTTTAATATATCATAATAAAATCAAAATATTTTACTATAATATATAAATATTAATAAATAATAATCAAATATCATTAAAAAAAATCTGCGGGGAGTCGGAAACCCCTTACAACCTCCCCGTAACTACGCCACTGCCTGTGAGTAAACGAACTAGACCTATTTTTACGTTGGCATCGCCAAAATCGTTTATTATCGTCAGCACTAAATTTATACGAATCATACATGAAATCATTGTATGAAAAAATGTCTATCGTTGTTTGTTTTATTTCATTTAATACAACATTATGAAACAAAAAGTTTAAATCATATTGTAATCATCGATAATAACTGATGGTTCAAGATCTATTTTAATATAATTGTATATGTTACCGGAAATGTTGACATTTTAGGAAAGGATGACAATTCCTAGGAAATGATGACAATTCCTAGTAGCGGAAGGAAATGATATCATTGCCTAGGAATTGTCATCATTTCCGTAGTTTATTAGGCAATGTTATCACTCATTACTTTCTTAGACGAAAGCATTGGAACTCATAATACAAGTCATGTGGGACCGGCTTTACAATATAACTATTAGAACGATAACTAACTCGTAGCGGCGACATACTAAGACCCGTAATCGTCACCCGTCGATAAAATGGTTGTGTGGAAAATATCTATCGCATATCGCATATATTTATCGCAATCTATGTATTTTATTAAAAGTGTCCCTAACCTGTACATGCAGTATACCACCTTTAGTAGTGTGTTCTTCTTAGTACAGTACGTATTTGTTATTTACACATTCAGTGCGTTTGTTAAAAATGGATCTCAATAAAATGCGAAATGAATTTAATAAAGCAATTTTATTACTAATTGGCGATAAGCGTGATGACAAAAAATCGTTCATGAATAATGAGGAATACGATCGTCGTATAGAAGATATAAAACTATCCAAGATTAAAAAAAAATGCAAGAGAGATTATAGAAATATTCGTAAGTACGATGTTATTTTAATAAATGATAAAGAGCGCTTAATTAAGGCCATGAACCATGATAATGACGGTATACGTTATTACGTTAAAAACGAAGAGCTATTCGATATTCTTCACTCTACGCATATAGCTATCGGTCACGGTGGTCGCGACCGTATGATGGCTAAAATAAAATTAAAGTATTGTAATATAACAAAAGAAACAATAATGATTTTTTGAGTCTTTGTACCGACTGTTATAAAAAATCATCTAACCCAAAAAGAGGTCTTGTTTCCAAACCAATTTTACATTCAGCATACAACTCACGTGCACAAATAGACATAATTGATATGCAATCTCAATGTAAAACAAAATTCAAGACGAACAGGTGTGCTTGCAGATCGGCATCTAGAATTTGTAATTCTAATGTCATGGAGGTTTGCCATGTGAAAATAAAACTGAGTAACTACGAAAAATAAAATGTAAAATATAAAAATTGTGAAATTATAAAAATTAAATTGATAAAAAAAAACTACTCTATTTTATTATATTATTTTATTATTTTATTATAATATTAGTAATTAACATTTATACATAGTAAAATAATTATTTTAAGTCTAATTAAATCAAATTAAAAAAAAAAAAAATGGTATCACATGTATGAAAAAATATGACATCATTGCCTGGAATTTTAAGGAAATGATAACATATACTAGGCAATGATATCATTTCCTTCCGCTACTAGGAATTGTCATAATTTCCTAGGAATTGTCATCCTTTCCTAAATGTCAACATTTCCGATAACATATACATGACCATTAGTCGAATGACACCAGTGTCCCATTTCCTTTGCCGAATTACCCGACTTTATCCGAGATTCAACATTTTATTTATTTTTTAAAACTACACTTAAACTCTCAGTAAGAAATTGGTGCATATTGGAGTATTTAGAAAAATTCTATAAAAAAAAAAAATCGAGAAAAGTGGTAAATAAATTTAAAATGTGAACCAGCCTCTCGTGACTAATAACAAAATAATAGATTTTTTATTTACTTTAATATTTTTATGTATACCTAATTTAAAATAAAGCATTAAAATTTTATTTCCATACAAATATGAATGTAAGTATTTAAATCAACTTAATGCACTAAACCAGCGGTTACTAACATGGGGTACGCGAAAAAAATTGGGTAATGGAAGAAAATATTGAATTTGTTTTATTTAAAACGATTCGTTTCGGAAACATGTAATATATGTTATTAAAAATGAAATTTTAATCTTTAACTTATCTAATAGAAAAAGAGTATATAGTGTAGATTATAGAATATATGTATATATAAAGAAAAAAACTTTGTAATTCCAAATAAGGTTAATGATCTTGCCAGGGGCGTATTTAGGAGGGGGGTAATATGGGTGTTAGAACACCCCCCATCGACCTTATTTTATGGTATTTAACCAAATTGTAAACTTACTTTGATTATTTGAATAAACGTTGTATACAACTTGGAGGTTTTACAAATGCTGTATAAATGTAATCTTTTTCATTTATATAAATACATGGAATTTATTTATTTAATACGGGTGAGGAGGCAGAAGCTCTACTTACCATAAGTCTAATAAATTTTTAAAACACCCCCGTTAAATGAATCCTGAATACGCCACTGGATCTTGCATTTTACTTCTACTGTATATATTTTCACATTTTATTATATTATTTTTAATTTTAATTTTACCCTTTATTTGATAAGTTATGTGAAAAAAAAATTAAAAGTTACAATGGGTGAACCACCTAGCAATTCAATAATGCTTAGGGACGAGGAAGAAAGAAAAAGTTGGAAACAACTGCAATAAACGCTTAAAGAGTAAAATTTTTTAATACGGATCACCTTGCATAAGAACAAACGTCATGTGGTAGATAGTACTCTGATTAAACTCGGTTGAATTTTAAGCAAAAATACATAAATATCTCACCTAAGACACAGATAAAAACCATACATATAACAATGTATATTTAATCTATGCCTAAGGACCGTGTGGGATGTTCGAAAAAATGGCATTGAAACATTTTACGACAGACGAGGGCGACGAAACGGATCGCGCGAAATCCCCAACGACGTTTGGGAATGTTCTCAGAGGGATTTTGTTCGACCCTCGCAACGTCCCGCGTACATACCTACACATATGATACGTATAGACAACGATGGACTCACGTCTCGAATAGCAGTACAGCAGATGGGTGTTGCGTATGCCGACGTTGTTGCAGCACAAGTCCACGTCAATCTTGCCACCGCGGCCGTCGTTCCACCGGAACTTGAGTATGGGCACCTTGGCGTAAACGATGCGCGCGTCCGTCGTCCTCACGGTCGTCCGCTCGCGTTCCAGCAGTCCCATCAGCCACCGAAGCCGCTGCACACCCAGCACCCGGTACCGTTCGTCGCGGTGCGACTGGTCGACGACGCTGTCCGACGTAACCTGCGCGGCCCCCGCGGCGGACGTGCAACAGCTCAGCAGGCAGAAGTCCGCGTCGCTTACGTCGCAGCCGAAGCCGTTCATCGTCGAACCGACCAGGTACAGGCCGCAACCGGGCGCCTGGCTCTTGATCAGCGCCGACAGCTTGTGCCACAGGGCCATTTTCATATCGTATACGTCCTCGGACTGACGGTTGGCCGAATATTTGCACCATACGGACAACGACAACTGAAACAAACATACGATTGTAAGACGTTTCCAAAAGCGTTTAAATTACACCGTTGTCCGTCTGTTTACGGTGGGAAGCATATAAAGTGTTGGAAAATAATTTCACTGAAAAAATATTTGATTGAAAATAATTTAATAGAAATATAATTATAATTTAATTTAAATTAAATTAAAATAATTTCATAGTAAATAAAAGTAAGGAAAAAGAAAAATTGGATTACTACTCTTATGGAAAATATTAATGGATGTATCATATAGATCTCTATCAAGGCACTCAAGTTACTCCGTGTGTAAATCCGCCACTGCTTAAGGTAGGTATAAGGGATCTAAGCAAGGGCGTACCTGAGTTGTGATCATGGGGGGCACTAATTATTCTTCCATACAAGCTTAAAAATAATTTACCATTGATTACGTATTATTGTGTTATATAGAAAAAAAACGGCGATGGGGGGGGGGGGCAAATGCTCAGTTGCTCCTAAATACGCCCTTCAATCTAAGATACAATGATCATTTTCATTGATTTTTAGGTTTCCAATTATTTATTTTCATTGTTATTATATTCTGTGTATAATATCTTCCATGATTTTAGGTTTCCAATAATTTATTTTCTAAAAAATCTTTTTTCCATTAAATTATATTTTTAATTTCCAAAAAAATATTTTCATAAACCTTGGCATTCTTTAATTTTACTTTCCATACTTTCAGAGTTCCAATCAATTTAGTTACCAAACATTTAGCACCTCACAACCAAAAACCGTTACGATCTGTAATCGATTTCAACATGGAAATTATCGTACTTTTAATGATAATAATTTAATCGTTCTGGGCAATATGATTTTGTGATCAATATTATTCAGTTAGGCACTTTTAATGTGAACGGCAAAAGGAGAGAGAAACTGATACGAAAATTTTAACAAATAATATTAAGATTAATGCAAACGAAGATATATGATAGCCGAAACAAATTGAACACAAAATTGAATGAGGGAGAAAATATTGGTGATCACATGGTAGGCCATAATGATTAAGAAATAATTTTGAACAAGGGCGTCGGTAGAAAAAGGATATGTAAATAAGGATAGTAAATGAAACTCATATTTTATTGTTATAAAATTTAAGAGTTTCAACATTACGTTATTTAGTGTACATCAAAACTATGAATTGAATTTTACGAACTGAAAAAACTGTGTATAATATTCATGTTGAATTGATCATAGAAACCAAGGGACGTATGAAGTTTATCTGCTAATACCTCTCTATTGTATGTATTCATAAATGGATTGTTGCATCCTGTCAAATCTGACGTACAAATGTAAAGATATAGTTACAAATGTTAAAATGTAAGTAATAATAAAAAATTAACAGTTTATGTTTTATTTGTTTATATAAATTAGTTAAATAAGTTAATTATTCAAAAAAAAATATTCAAATTTTAAATTCAAATGCTTCAACTAATCAAATTATTTAATTTAAAAACGATTATTGTACTATAGACTAGTTCAATTGCTTTCTGTATTTATTTAGACTACATGCAGTAAAAATATTATAATTTGATAGAAAAAAAAAATAGAAATACTTAATAGATAAAAAAAACCCGTAATGTTTTTATTACGTCATAAATCAAATGTACAAATTTTCGTTACTCGATAATTTCTTAAACCAAATTTTATTCATAGACATTTTGCTGTTTTATACAATACACACACACACACACACACACACACACACACACATATTTGTTTTTGGTATTAATTGATCATAGAAAATCTGGAGAGCGATGCACTACATAATATGTATAAAATGTATTTAAATGTAAGATGTATTTTTTAAATCAATAATTACTTGGTCTGTTTCGTCTATTTTTATTTTCGAATCGTCTTGAACGATTTGTTTTGCATGCTCATCATATCTTTTCGGGTCCGAAAAATAAAATGAGTTCATAGCAGTTCCTAAAGATCCTCCGTTCCAATGCCATGGTTTGCAACACGACTGCTGCAGCGATATTTTTCTGGGTATGTTCCTCGTAGCCTGAAGAAATCGAAAATTAAACAATTAAAATCGTTCGCAGTTAACGAAAAACTTATGTATATATGTAGATAACCCCGAGAAATTTTAGGAAACTTGAATAATTTCGCTATACCCTGTCCATTGTATAATCTTTATTCTACTATGGATGTCCGTCTACATCTCCAGCAATTCATAAATTTCCCTATTTTATGTTTTGTCCGTAGTACACATTTAAGTACGTTGAGATACATTTGTTGATATGAGTTGCAAAAGATAATTTGAAGGAAACGATTTTCAATATACGATTTCGATTATGTTACGGACAAGGTATTATTATAAAAAAATAATATATCACGGTAATACCACTCACGTATGCTACCTGGTGGAGTTTGTGCAAATCACTGTAATACTGTAAATGATGATTTTGTGGTATGTTTGATTGTGAATATCCGTTTTTGAATTTTTCTGCATTTTCATTAATGAACTGCGGCACTCTACCGATTATTATGATAATAATTATACATTAATAATACTAATAAGGTTATACGAATATTTTAATAAAAATCCTATTCTAAATAGTAAATGATACACAATTTTAATTCAAAAGTAAATAGACAACATAAATTATAATATTCTTATGTAATATTTAAAATGTAATATACGTTATTAAGTTCAAAATATTAAAACTAAGTAAAAATGGCCAATAATGCGTAACAGAAAATATCGTTCTTTCCACTTTGGTTACTTACGTACCCTTAACAAAGACGTAAAAATGTGCTCCTCAGTGGTACATCTTTGTCTTAAAAACAAATGGCAAGTTTCGGAGGTATATTATATGAACTATTATGGTATTTGGTAAAGTATTTGGTATAACTTTTTTTTAAGATATACCAAATACTTAACTTAAGCCATAATAGTTCATATAATATATTTGAATTATTGTTAATAAATTATTGAATTTCTCTCTTTCCATAGAAATACAACGTATACGTAACATACCGATAAATAATCTTTTTAATCAAATATTTGTTATAAATCAATAATAAGTTCATTATTATGAATTTAATCTTTTTAATCAAATATTATTTATCGGTATGTTACGTATACGTTGTATTTCTGTGGAAAGAGAGAAATTCAATAATTTATTAACAATAATTCAAATAATATTAGTAGTTGTATTATTAAAAACTTGTTTATCATATATTATATATTATATATCAGGGGTCGACCCGCATCTGGCCCGCGAGCTTTATTTATCTGGCCCTTGTTATATTTTAAAATTACATCATACAATAATAAAGTTTATCGTCTTTACTCTAACTTATCGATATAACAATTATTATCCGGTTAAACATTGTTAAATGTCATATGTATGAATAGCTTTCAATCATAGCTGTTTGTACCGAACTATTTAACCATATCAGTTTCTTTGTATCATTCGTATCGTGTCTTGTTTTGGTATGTGTGTTGAATTTATTATTTCCCTGTATATATATACTAATTAAAATTCTAAAATTCATATTTTGAATGACTTTTTTTTCTTTTTTTTCTATGCTTTGGCCCGCTAGATTTTAATTTTCTAAAGTTTGGCCCTCTAGTAATTAGTAGTAGTTACTCTAGTAATAAGTGGCCCATCCCTGTTATATATCATCTCTATATAGTCTACACAAAATATACTGTTGACGAAAAATCATATTGCGATGGACGCTATGATGTATAACAGTGGTTCCCAAACTGTGCACTGCGGTGCTCTAAGGGCACCGCGAACACTTTCTATGGGCACCGTGATCTACGGTTCATAACAAATAGTTTAAAATGTTTAGATTTTTTTTTCCTTATTGTTTTCGTAAAAACTTTATAGCAAATAATGAAATATTTTCTATTGTATATTCGGACATTTTCATTTTAACCTTATAATATTTTTATGTAATAATTATAATAATGATAACAATAATTTTTATTTATTTAATTTTTAAGTTTAAAAATTCATTAATTTATAATTAAGTTAAATTTTAATGAAATTAATAAAATTAGTTATCAATGAGTACTTTTTTCGTCCTGTCTTTCATGTTATCCACAGCAGGGGACAGTGGCTAAATTAAGTCCAAAAAAAGGCACCGCGGAAAAAGTTTAGGAACTGCTGATGTATAAAAACAAATTTAATCGAAAAAATATAGATGAATTATTCTTATCTATGATGGGAAATATTTTATGGAAGTTGATTGGTATACAGATAACTGTGAAATACGGCGAATAACATATATAAATAAATTATCTCTTTGTCCATGTATCACTCGTTTATTAAAATTAAAAATTTTATTATTGCCATTTATATATATATTATAATAACCGATGAAATTTAATATGAAAAATAATACATGATCAAAATATTTTTTCGGTTTGGAATTTTTGAATAAAAAAAAATTTTGAATTTACACATATTTCCGGTTTTAATGACGTTTTAGTACGCTAGACTTACCGCTGAAAATATGGTTATCTTATTTTTATCAGTTATGTTATAATTCGTTTTGGGGCTTCAATGTTTGAATTATAACAATGACAGCAAGAGGAGCTCGAATAAAACGTTAGGTTCGCATTAAAATATTCGAAGGCATCTCGGGAGATTTAGATTAATGAAAAATGCTTTTGTTACTGCCCGTGAATGGGTTAACGTTTCGCTCCCCCCCCCCCCCCCCGAGAGCTTGGTCGGAGGGTACTTATAGGACATGCGTGGAACGATCGTCGTGGCCGCTGGAAAGTCGTCGACATTCGTCCGACTCGTGCACGGCGATGTCGTCTCTTACCCGGAAAAGTGCTTGGCCATGGTTTTCCATTCGATTTTCTCGCACGTCTCGGCTCCATTGTCGTAACGGCGGAACGGATCGTAACACTGTGGCGGCAGCAGCGGCGGCGTCGTCGTTGTCGTCGTCCTGTTGTCGTGCGGCCCGAGTTCCGGTCTGCCGCCGTACTTCCGGAAACCCGGAAACTTCTTGCCCGGCCGCCGCGGCAGGCGGTCGCCGTCCGCGTGCGAATGATGATGATAGTCGCCAGCACCACGGTGGTGATCGTTTTCGCGGTTCCCGTCGCCTTGCGCCCACCACTGCTGCTGGTGATAGTGGTCGGTCATTTTCGTTGTGGCCGTGTCGTCTGCGCACCGGTGTCCACGGTCATTTAGGTCGATGACGAAGAATTATCGTGCGCTTCGGGAAACGCGCGACTGCCGCAGTGCGTGCGAGACGGCAAGTAAACGTGTGTGTGTGTGTGTGCGTGTGTGAGTGTGTGTGAGTGAGGTAGTTTGAGAAAGAGAGAGAACGCGATGGTGTTGCGAGATTACGATTGGGAAATTGTGATGACGACGATAAGCCGACATCAGCGATGACAATTTTTAACGACACGAAAATCTCTCCGTGTTCAGGTACATCCGAACGATTGGTGCCAGTGGTTGGATCAACGATTCCTAACGACTTTTTCGGCCACGGAGCCTTTTTTCATAGCGGTCCTAAGAAATATTTCATTTCTGTTAAGTTTTCGGACCATATTGATATGTATGATACGTACGGAAAGAAACTCGATTATATTTATATACACAATACACCTGGTCGGGTAATACCTGATGCGTATTATCTAAAATTAAACGATAGTTAATTTTTTTATCTGGATCTCATTATTGTTTGTACGCGTATCGGTGAATTTGATTTGTCCTGTTGAAATATTTATATATATTATAATAATAATGATAATCAATAGTTGGAATTATTATTAATTTTTTTTGGTGAAACGAAAGGAGTTTTTGAGAAACAATTGCGGAGCCCCAAAGGGCTCTAATGGAACACAGTTTGGGAACCGCTGAGTTAGACGATTCTCGCGATAAGAGAAACGTTGATACCCCTCCTAACCCGCCGTTCGGAAAGAACGCGAAGTGAGCGTTTCCGAACAATTTTCGTGCTTTGCGGTTAGAGGCCTCGGGTGGACCGATGTTTACCGAGACGAGTGCACACGATCCGTATTCATTATCCGTGGATGGATTTTTGTTGAAGTTTTCGGGTTTTCCCGTTCGCCGTTCGCAAATGTATTGATAATCATTGATGGAAAATAGCATTAATAAATGTTTTCTAATACATTTTACCGTTGTTATTTAGTATAGTACTTACATTCAAACGAAAATGATATTTTCTAAAAAATTAATTTAGTCATTTTCATTCCGATATCGTTCTCGTGAGTATAAATCAAACGCGATTTATTTACATTATGTACCGCAAACAATATTTAACCTAACCATTCAATATTTCAAACAGCGTAGGTGATAAATTATACGCACTAAACTCTCGTCTTTCGGCAAAGAACAAATTTCACCTAAAGTATATTAATGAACGGGAATAATTTTTGCTTTCAAAATTGAATATTTATCGATTAAACAATTGATTATATATTTCAGCGATCGAACTTATGTCAACTGTTGTTTCAAATTTGTTTGCCATATTACAGACGTATTGAAAACCTGGTGTTGTACATCTAATTAAAACTATTGCTCAAGGTTAAACTATTTAAAGACGCTTTTAGATTATCTGTGGAACCTTTCGACTAAAAATACGTTTTATATTTAATTATCGCGGTTCAGTGATTCCAACGCGTAACCACTAACTTCGGTGTGTGCATTAATGTGTGTCGTCTACCTAATAAATATGTACCATTAAACGTTCAACGAAGTAATACCTGGCATATAAGTACGATTTTTTCACAAGGTCTGCGTATAAATACGTTGAAAATATAATCTTTAAACTCGCGTTGTATGTTGTTAATAATTCAATGATTTTGAATACAATATCTGTGGGTGTTGAAGGTGAATGAGCACTCATTTCACTGGAAAATACGATGTAGGGTTGAATATTGACCGTGAATACTAAAAATAAGTACATGTGGTGCGAAGGGTGGTTTTATTGAATCCACGAACAGTGATAGGGATAAGATGAAAATAATTATATGAGACAGGAGTATTCAATATTTCTATTATTTGTGTAATGTGTGTTAGTTGCCTTGCAACTATAATATTTAATATGTTGAAATAAATCAATAATTTCAATACATTAATATTTAAATAGTTAAGCTTTCAACTAAGAATAATTTATTTAATCTAAAATGTTCGTTATTTCTTACTTTTTATTGACATCACAGTATTTCACTGTATTTCACGTAGGATCATACGGAACAGTTTATTTTATAATCTATGATAAAACATAGTTTTTAATATAACATATGTGTAGAATATGATAAATAACAAATTTTCAAATTATATACACAAATATTCACAATTGTAAACTTTAACTTTATTTATTATTTGTTAAAAATCTTGTAAAAACAAAATGTTTGTTGAAACAATAAAAATTAATAAATAAAAAAAAAATGTAACTGTTGAACCTTATACATTTTCAAAAAAGAAATTATTTAAATAAAACAAGTAGGTACCTACTATCGTAATTCTATAAATATGTTATCATGGTAATATTTATAATCACAAACCATTTTTAATGATAACAATAAATTCAAATAAATGATAATTTAGGAGATTTCAATCATTTCGTTCATATTTCTATGCTATTATAATTCGTATATGGATTTATTCGTTTTAAGTTATTGAATTAAGTAAAGTTTACTAAGTTATAAATCATATTTACCTATTATATTTCGTTATGTTGGATTGGTTAAGTACTATCCATAGAGAATAATATCTTACCATTTAATATATATATATATATTTTTGGTTTAATTTGCTTTTATTAAAAAAAAAAACATCACAGCAAATTTTATATACTTACTACTAGTATTTTAAAAGACGTCCTTGGACTACGATTATCATTCAACATTTTGATGCTCGTATGTACCACTCTTCTATGTGCATTTAATTCAATGAAAACGGATTTTTATAAGGAATAAACGCGACTGTAAAAAATTAAAATTTTCTATGAGGAAGTAGGAATTAAATTAAAAACAATACCCAAAAGCATTTTCATTTTATAGTTACTAATATTTTTTAATTATTTATAATGCAAGAACAGAAATAAAACATATTATATAACAATAGAGTCATTATTAGGTTCGTTACATTAATAAATATAATATATTAATTAAAATAATGTAACACTGACTAAAAGTCAATGTTTAAAAGATTACAAAATAATAGTAATATAATATAATATAGGTAACATAATGACTAGACAATGAAATTGAGTCAAAAGTATTTATTTAACAATTTCGTCGCTTATTACAAGCTATAACTAGAAATGTATAGTTTTATTTAATATTATTGTATAATTGTATTCAAAAAGCCGGTAAAAATCAATGTTTAAATTTTGTTTTTGTTAATACGTCGAAACCTATTTCAACATGAATGTTAATGATTAGTAAGAACCATTTTTTAGATTTGTATATTAGTTTAAAATATTCACTAATGTATTAAATTTGCATGAAATCCACAGTTTGACCTCAGACTAATGAGCAATCCAACAGATATAAAACGAACCTCTAACTGCCGAACGTTTTAAACATTTTTGAGATGAATATGAAATATTTTTTTTCCCAGATAAATAATGTACGAAATTACTAAAAAAAAGAGCAAAATTGAAACTCCATATTTTTAATTAAAAATATAATATGTGGTTCATATAAAATACATTTTAAACGTGAAACTATTTTACAGATATTTTTACATATTAGGAATTTTCCGAAACTATAATTTATACGCAAAGCAAGTGTAAGCGACTAAACATTGTTAGAAAAACGGAAAACGGATAATTCTCATTTGGTATCCAATCATCTTCCGGTAAATCGAGTGAAATGAATGGCTCGTAATATGCCTGCAGTGACTATGTATAGTAATATGACAGTAATAGTATGAATGTATGATTTATATTATTGTCTCAGTTGTGAAATTGTTGATTGATTGTACATCACAATGTTTGACAAATTATTATAACGCACTATAGATTTACGCTCAGACCATGCTTGTGTTCTATAGCAATGTTCTCGTACTGTAGACTATTAATTTGTACGAAGCATCCGAGTTGGCCCCGAGTACTAGGAGCTAATCGCAGGTAGGACTGTCTATGATCTATTTAGACCACAGGTATGGTTAAAAATGTTTTTTATATAGTTTTTTTTTCTTTCAAATATAAATTATTAGAATTGTAGAATTGTGTTGGTAAAAATATTAATTGTATAATATTTTTATTACACTATACTAACTTTCCATTACTAAAATATAAAAAATATATTGTAAATTATAGAATTTTAAAAAAATGTGGTCCTGTGGTTTAAATAGATCATAGACAGTCCTAAGTCTGTTAAAATGGGAAGAAAAATGTTAGTATATTGTAGTACTTACCAAAAAATATTCAGGAACTAGTGTATACCTAAAATAATTCAGGACTCAACTAGTGTGGTACTTTTAAAAATCTGGGACCCAACTAGTGTAGTACCTAAAATAATTCGGGACCCAACTAGTGTAGTAATTTTAAATTCGAGACCCAATACGGATGCTACCGATTTGTAATTGTCGATATTGATTATAATTATATAATTTTAATGGTATATTATTCCTGCCTGAACTATAGAACGAATCTTCTTTTTTAAATAGTAATTAATGAATGTACCATTAATATGTCGTAGGTATTTTTAGTAAAATACTTAAGAGAGCTAAAACAACATCACTAAGTATAGTTACACAAATGTTTGAGTCTGATTATTAGTAACAATGATGTCAAATTGAAACTATGAGTTTTGACAACATTTTACATTTTGATCGTTTTGACCATTTTTATTGTTTCCATGCTTCACATAATCTACAACTAATTCCAAACCGATAAGAGCCGTTAAGTCTTTACAATCTTTCTTCTCACCCTCTTCGTTTTGTGTGGTTTCGGGTCCGTCTCCCTCTACGTCAATGATTTTTTCTTCGTCTGGCGCCACTTGCTTGTAAATTTTTGTCAAGTTTCCCATCAAGTAACTAGTCCCCTGCTTGTTGTTAATTTTTTCAAGTTCTTCCGTTTTAGATGGTTCTGGTACTCGGAATGCTGAATAATGTCTGTCCTGCTTTAACGGATCTGAACGTATTTGTAAGTTTAGAGGCTCTGCTTCTGGAGTCTTGAAATACATCGGTGGGTAAGTAGGAGGATAAAAAGGGGGGTACCACAAAGGAAATTGTGGTTCTGTTTGTGCGGGTGGTAAAGGTACAAAGTCCATTTTATTTTGCTTGACTTCAGACGGTAGTTCAGTTTTTCCGCTATCTTTCCAGGTACGTTTTCTTCCTCTTTTATTTAAAGATATAGCGGGTGAAGATTTTGCTTGTACGAATCTTTTAAGCATTTCACTAAAATATAGTCCTGGTGGCACAAAGGTCGAGTTTGTTTGATATGGAGGTGTAGCTGCAAGTAAGCGACTTATCAAGTCACCATTTCTAAAATCCGCCGGGGATTCTCGTACTGTGCCCGACATAATCTATAAATTATACAAAATTTTTATTAGAAATATAAAATACATCAAATTAAATTCACCAAAATAATAAAATAACAAAATTAATAAATTTACTGTGATACTTCACTTGTATTATTGTATGAAATTGCCCCCTCGATAAGGTTATTTATTATTTATTTTATTAGAACATTTAATGATTTAAAATCAAATATAATAACATTTATTTTAAAAACTATGAAAATTCAATTTAGATAATAATGGTTGACATTAGTTGTAAGTAAGTAGTATTTTTATTTTAAATATTTATAATAAAGTAATCATTTTAAAATAAGTGTTATTAATAAAAAAAAAACTAAAAACTTTATTAATAATTTGTTTTATGAATAATTTTATTATGATTGAAAAATGTATGAATAGTAATAATGCAACTGTAATAAATTTAGAATGTTTAAAAAGTATTGAATTGATAACTTGAATATTGCATTGTACTTAATGTATAAATTGAAAGTTCAAAAAAAAATATATTATGTAAAGTTAATTATAATATTATTATTCTTTGTTTTATAAAAATGTGATAGTTTACATATTAATTGGACTTGATTCTATATTTACGAGCATGATATTAAATGTAAAAAACGCTAACCTTTAATATTTATACAGTAACTACAAATACATCCTAGTTGAGTGTTAAATATTTTTAATTTCATTAACTTTTGGTATGTCATACAATAATTATTAGAATTACTAGACATCAGACTCGTGCTCGTGTACTGAATCATTTTAGTACTGATTGTAATCGCAACAATAGTGTCGAATCAAGTATTGTAATTATTTTTTATTCGCTGACAATTTGAACACTCCAGAGATTTATGTTAACGTTTTGAATTACAATTGGATGTGGACTGATATAAAATTTGATTAGCATACGGTCTCGTGGCGTCAAAAATATATAATTGGTACATTGCAGTGGAAAATAATATATGCACGTCTAGTTAACTATAACCCCGGAACTCATTAGTCATCATCGCCCTCGACAATGCTGTACACATATTCATCCCTGCTGTATACCCTTTTCGCACAAAAGCAAAAAAACACGCAATTACGTCGAATGGACTTCATTTTGAATTTACTGCCAACCACTGTAATTTGTAACAATCCACACCAATTTATATTGTGGACTTGACAACGTAACATTATCTCATCAAACTTGCACGCATTTATGAAAAGTGATCTACATCATTTAAATGGAAATAACTGTGTGCTTGACAAACGTAGTATACCTTTTTTGCATTCTTGTCTTGCGCACCCGCGTTATCTACAAGAATCAGGATTCAAGAATGCATACAAAAATGTTGTGCAATATAAGTGATTAGGGAAAATTGACTGAATGATACTCGTAAATCCATTTTGAAATTTCAAAGACGCAAAGTTAATGAAAATTGATACTATTCAATTATTCTATGTTAATGAATAATATTAACTCAGAGGCTCGGAGCGATAATTCGTTATGTTTTCAATTGGGATCTCCTCTTTTTGAGGAATATAAGTAGCTTAGTTTGTACTTTGCATCATAAAAATATTTTTGGTATATAACAAAACCACCTAAGTCCCAAAAATATGAACATTTAAGTAAATTTGAACTGTAAGCAATAGTATACATTTATAATATGATTAAACCATGTAACTATAGTGTACAACTAAGATTCTCAAACTATAATTCGTTTGTTTTTCTCTAAATATTATAGTTTTCCTTTTAATAATAAAATAATTTTTAAATTAAAAAACTTTTTTCAAACCGAGAGGACACCGGAAACAAAAGACGTGACAGGAACCGCCGCGTCGGTCGGACCCTGATAATACGTATTATGTACAGTTGACAACTGGACAGACAATGCAAAATAATATTCTCGTCTGCAATGGGAATAATTCAATTATCACGAGTAAATGGGAATTTCGAACCCAATTTGCACTACAGCGTCAATCCCTTCTACATTTCGCATTTCCATTGTATCCCGTATACTTAGAGAGACATACACACGCACACGTACACACACATGCAAACACATACACACACGTGCACATGTACACGCACGCACACGTACATTCACACTTATTCAGCCGTTGTATTATACGTGTGTAGTTTGACATTCGTGTTTCCTACGGCTATATACGTTTGTCATTTAGGGGAATAATCATTCGTATTCGCGTTCTCTCCGGTTGTGCGGTTTCCTTTGCGGACACAATCACTAAACGACAATATACATTTACACGCTATACCATGCAGTGATATAAACGACACAACGGTTTTTTCTCGTAAAATCAGATTGCACAGAAGTTATAACAAGAATAACTATAAGTTTATAATTACATTTTTTCTACGATACCGAAATACGATTATTATATTACTATGTTTTAAATTTTTATAGGAGAGCATCCGTCATGGACCTCTCTTCAATAGTTTTGTTTTTCAAGGCTTATCTACTTCCAGTACGGTAAATAACTGTGCTCGTACTCGAATTCAAGTATTATTTGATATTAATGCAACAACATCAAAATGTACATCTTAACATCAAGCATTTGTTACATTTCAAGTTAACATATTTTTTCTGTCTTAAACGATTAAAACATGATTAAAACATAGTCCTATGTTGATAGAGTATATAAAAATGCCCCCTGAACCTGGATAAGACTTTTTAATATAATACGTTTATAGTCAAATTAATTTTATTATTAAACATAAAATACTATATATTATATTATAATACATTGAAAGTGATGCTTAATAAAATTATATTATACTTACAGTAATGTACTGTGTAATATGCAGTAATAAAAATCTCTCGATGTTCAAAATGCAGTTATCTTTAAACATTAAATTGACTAAACCATTCTCACCCTTGAAAATACCCACGATATATTTGTGTAATAAACACGTTTTTAAATTGGTTATGCCTTGGATTTGTATTTCAGCGTATAATTGCAAGCATTGTAATGTAAATATAATGATGAAAAAATCCATAATAAACAAACAATGAAGGAGAGCATATCTTTGGGAAATGGCAAACTGCCGAATAGTAGTATATATAAATACCGAATGGAACAAAAGATCTACCCAGAAGCAAACAAAAGGCTTCACCCTACATTGTTGAAAGGTATTCGTTGATCAGAAACAATGCCATCTTATTGAACCCGTGTGATTTTCGAATTAGGCAAAGTGCCTTTCTAATAAAGAATTGATAGAAAAACATCAATTTGATCTTAGGAAATACATTTTTTTGTATCAAAAAATTAAAAATTTGTCCTGATTAAATAAACCATTTGGTGATAATGATAATAGTAATAATAATACACAGTATCTATTTTAAATTATCTTTTGTGGCGTCCCACGAATTTAATTAACAATAGTAGGTACCATAGTCACCCTTGCATTACATGTATGCATGAGTGTGCAACGATACATACTCTTTATAATAAACGAATTCTTATAAATATTAAAAAACCACATCCGTGGATAAATTGAATCATGCACATTATCATACAAACATCATCCCACACATACCTACTTAAAATTCAATAAAGATTAACATTTTAAAATTATCATACACACTCACAATTTACACACACATTTGCGTCCATCGGGTATATAAGGGACCCGGAAACAAGGAAAAATCAGACGAGTTCTTGCTATGCGACACTGAGCACCTTCACACTAGTGTATGTTATGGTTTGGACTTAGACTCACAACAATTTATTAAACTATTAGGACTTAAAATTATTTCACTACAGTTTAAATATTAGGAATTAGAATATTTCAAATAATTTATTAATTATTTGTACTTAGAATAATTTTGAACAATTTAAATAAATCACTGTAGCCACAACTAGTAGTAATTATTTTACAATATCCAACTACATACGTTGAACAGACTAAGCGATACTGAAATACGATCAATCGGTTGGCATGTAACACCTTTGAGCATCTATCATAATATTACTATTGTTAAATTGTTATATTTTATAATATTATTATTTACTAATATTATACTTATGTTATGAAAAAATACTAAGTGCACAGTTTTATAGTTTAATAAGAAATTACATGAACCATTTGATAATTTTGTGTATACAAAACATAAAAAAATTTTATTTTTGGACGACTTATTGACCTAGTTTTATATGTAACTATATAACCTATATAAGGTATACCTTTAATTAAACTACCAGTTTTAATTAAATTACAATTAGCTTTATAGGTTTTCAAATGGAAATTATTAAACAAGTATATAAATTTTAATATTCTAATATTATTTGTTTTAATGTTCGAGTAGTAAACGAAATGTTAATAACATCAGACGCTCAGCGCGTTCAGTCAGCGTCAAAATTAAGACAATAACTACGAGAAAAGATAAAAACACAAGGAAGACTAAATTAAAATCCTTTTTGGATGAGACAGTTTGAATTAATGTCAAATAGAACTCGGTGGAATCGGAAACTTTGTTGATTTGCAACTTATACCCCTTTCCACGTCCCATTCCACAGATGCTAATTACTCTGAAAGGGACCAAAACTTTAATACTCTTTGAGATTCGTATCGTGCACCACTGCCGATTTAATTACAAGACTGTTTTTTAATGCCCCCTACCTCTTCGACAAGCTAATTAAAACGTCGGGGACCTGAGAAAACAGTATTCTTTCTTTTCCTCACTCTTATTTTCGCTTGTTTTTTTTTCTTTGTTGAGCAGACAATTTCCATGGATACGAATCTGTTTCAATTTGTCACTCCCTTTCGCACTAGTACATCACAGACGACGAAGATTATTATATTTTCAGGGAAATACGCAGTGTTATCCCTTGAATGCTAAACAGTATGAATAAAAAATTGTATTTAGAATTTCATAGCATGAGTTTTGTAGTATTTACATGTTATACTTAATTTATTTATATATATATATACATAATATGATTCAATTAACACAGCAAGCACCATTTTTTTCAAATTTTATTCATCAATATTTTACAAAAGA